TGGCTCAGTTTGTTAAGAGCATGAGCTCTGAGCAACAGGGTCGCTGGTTCGATTCCCACATGGGCCAGTGAGCTGCACCCGAGCTGAGCTGCCACTGAGCTGCCAACAGGTGGCAGGATGACTCAGCTGGTGAGAGCATGTGCTCCTAACAACAAGGTTGCTGGTTCGACTCCCGCATGGGATGGTGGGCTATGCCCACCTGCAACTAAGATAGAACAATGCAACTTAACCTGAGCAGCTGCGAGCTGCTGATGGGCAGACCAATAGCTACTGGACTTGGAGCGGAGCTAGCTGTGCCCTCCACAACTAAGATTGAAGTACAACAACTTAGCTGTTCCCCTTTCCCAATTCCCCAACACTGTTCCCCTTCCGCAATTCCCCAATAAAATCTTTAGAAAAAAATAAGACTGGCAAAGACCTTGGTAGATATAGTCAATATAAAGTTTAAATGATTAGCTCTGTGGTAAGCAAAGAATGTTATATAAATTTAGTGAAATGTACAAAAGCAAATCACACGCTTTCAAAGATAAAACTTTAGTTCTTAAGGTGACTCTTTTTAACTTTGTTGTATCATCTGCTTGAGGTGATAAGTGATTTAGAGGTAAAAGAGATCCTGGAAATTTTAGGCTTCCCTCTCCCCTATCTTACAGAAGAGAAACCAATGGCTAGAGAGGTCAAGCCATTGGTTATAGTGACATAGTGATTTAGTGTCACCAGTGAGCACCAGAAACCCTTATTCCACTCTGTGTGGTTCCAGGCTGCCTTTTGGATAATCTGGGATTAGACCAGTAATGTCAGCATAATGGTCTATAGTAACTTAATTTTCTGACGAGAGTTGGGTAATGGGCCTTTTCAAACTTGCCCTTTGTTTTGTGCCATATATTTCAATTATATAATTAATTACAAAAGTTTCTATTATAAATATCTCTAAGATATTTCTTTTTTGATGTTTGAATATAGCCATTCCATTTTAGCCTTTTAATATTTTCAAATCAGTTTCTTGAAAGTATGACACATGTCATAGAATTTAAAAACAAATCCTTACATTTTTCAAATGAATCATCTTCTCACAAGTTATTTTATGGCTTTTTCACAGGCATGGCCCTCTGTTTCTTCTATTTTACCACTGCATTGTATAAATAAAATGGAATCACACAATACTGATAAAAATGTTTTAAATCATACAAATATATTTTGATAATCTCTCATATATTGAAGTAATAACTATTAAGGTCCATGTTTTTGTAACCTGAAAAAGTTAGTAAAACATCTAAATTTGAGAAGATGAGGCAGCAAAAGTAGGAGGCAATGTCTCATTATTAAAAAATAAGAATAAAAAATAATAAAATGAAATAAAAATAAAAATACAAATAACCAAGTAGTCATATATAGAAGGGAAGGGAACATGTTAGCTTGATCTCTGGAGTTGGCACTCAATAAATATTTGTGAATGGAATGAAATATGATAACTTATTATTTTCACTTACTGCTTCTTTGCATGTACCAGGTGATGGGGAGTATTAGAGCCCTGGATTGAAAGCCAAGACTTTCGAAAATAGTATCGGTATTTGAGAGCATGCACACTTGTTCTAACTTTCCATAAGTGTGCTCTGAGGGAAAATTCAGGTTATCTATGTGAAAATGCCTTTCAGGAGAGAGTAAAACTACAGAAACTATGAGAGCAGAATTTCATGAAGGGAAGGAAGTCTGATCAGCAGTGGTAGCCGAGGCAGAGAGGAGGGGGACTGAAATCTATCTGGTGTCTTGTGCTTAGGGGAGGGGAGTGAGAAAACGGGAGGCCGGGGGCCAGAGACAGTGAATGTAGAATTCCTTTCTAAGAAGCCTGACTCCAGAAAAGAAAGGCAGAGGGGTAATAACTAGTGATGACTTACAGCACAGTCCTGTTTGTTTCATTTTGAGATCTGAATTCTGCCTGTGTTTTCATTCTAAGCAAATAGAGCTAGTGCAGACAGAGTTTAAAAATACCAGCAAGAAAGGGGATGATGGATGTAGCAAAGTCTGAGGATGGCAGCAGGGCACAGGATGGAGCTATTTAGTGGACGGATGAAGTTTGGCTAGCAGGGGACCCACCCTTTCTTCAAAATAGAGGGTCATGAGGCGAGGGTGGGTACAAAGGGGATGAATTTGTAGGCGAAGAAAGGCAGGAAATTAGGGGAGTTCATGCCTGATGACCTTGATTATTTCTGAGACTATAAAGCAAAGTCATTTATAGAGCAAAGGAAATGTGGGTTTGCGATTGGGCTTGGAAATAGCCCAGGAGAGGAGTGATAATAGACTTGACAGTCAGTGTGGGAGACCCACTTGAGGTTGGACGTTCCCCATTGCACAGGACAGTGTATTGTGGATTGGTGTCTATCCAGGTAGAGGATTAGAGAATTCTAGCAAATTGTTACACTGATCCATTGCTCAGCATTTGCCTTAGGAAGACAGAGGGACTAGAGAATGGAGGGTGGTTGAAGTGATGTCGTTCAGGGCAGGCAGGAAGGGAAAGAGACAAAGCTAGAAGCTACCGGAAGCCTGGGCTCCTTGTGATCTGCTAGTTGGAAGAGAGAGGAAAGAGGGGAGCTGGATGGGTGAGATGTTATCAGAAAACAAATCCAGGGTGTGTTCTCAGGATTGATTTGCTCAGGTGGAATGGGGCTGAAAGCCATGGACTGAGGGGTAAAGAGATAGAACAGGGAGGGGACGAGTCACCCACATGGATGCTGAAGTCCTCCAGGGTGATGGGAGGGGTCATGGCTGCGAGAGAGTGACCAGTGGGTCAGTAAACGACAAGCAGAGCATGATGGCATCAGTGGAGGACGGTCCACTCAGCAGACAGCCTTGTGCACGTGGGTCAGAGTCTCCACCCGAACAGAACAGCAGGGCACTGACCATAGCTTTCCGTCCTATGGGAGGGAGACTGCACAACGTCCATTGGAGGCCTGGGAAGCGGTGGTCATGGCAGACCTGGGGGGTTCACATAGACCAGGAGGTGGTGGGGAAACTTGTCAACCTGTTCCAAGAGGGCACAGTGGAAAATGAGGAGAGGTTAGAATTCGAAGTGGGGAAAAAAAGCACCCCGCGGGGCCGAGATTCTAGGAGAGGAAACTGACCAGACGGTTTGCATTGTGGGTGGTGGTGAAAGATGGCAGAGGTGAGAGGAGAGACGTTAATTGGTTTCATGGTTCCTGATGGACTCTTGGCACTGGGTTGTGTTGTCACCTCGACTGCTGTAGGATTTTAGGGACTGGGGTATACAGAGTATCATCTATAGTAGTGTTTTGGTGGTTGTAACTTCTGCAGATAAAAATTTTGCGAAGGAGGAAAGGAAAGAGATGGAATCTATGGCTGGATATAAGGCTTTGCCCATAAAGCAAAGAACCTTCATAGCTAGAAGGAGCTAGGGATAGTTATGAGGGGTTACAATGGGAACACTCGTTTGCTGCTGGATGGCGTTCTGAGTGAGAATAACATGGGTGATATGGATTGAATTATGATGCACCGTGCCCTGTTCTGAGGTCTTTGTTTGGTTTAGTCTTATCTTCAGCCCTATCATTTTTATCCTCTCCACTGTATAGATGAGGCATAGCGGTTAAGTAAAGTTGCTCAAGGCTAAGAAGTGAGTCAGAATTGGAACCCAGGCATCCAACACAAATGACCTTGCTCCTGAATCATGATTTTATGTGTCCTTACAACATTCAGATGTGGCCTTTTCAAAAAGTTATAATCTGACAGGAGACGCACAAAATGAAAACAGACTCCAACCCTGGGCGTAGGCATCCCAATTCTATATCATGGTTGAACCAGGAAGCAAAGCAAGTCCATTCCCCTGGAAGATGCAGCAAAGGCTTCTGCCTAACGGTTTGGGCTGTTGCACTTAGGAATACATTTCCCTTAGGTATTTTTTCTTTAATTCAGAGAATTTTTTTTTTCCTGTTTTTAGATCTTATTTCAGGAATTGCAAACACTTGGATAATAGCTAACGTCTTGATTATTTTGAACTGATTGGCCTTAGATTATGTAACTTTCTTGTCTGTTTTCTTCTCTCTTTCATGCCCTTTCACCGAGCATGTTTCACAATTGGTTCACGTGAGAGACACAGAATGCAACATGTTGGCAGCTATTCAAGCTCCTTATAGGTCATTCTCTAAAAATTCATGTGTTGAAGAGAAAATAATGAACAACAACAATGGTTGTTTACCTGAGGTTATAAATTATCTCCCTACGACTGTCTTCCATGATCATAGACAATTAAAACTTGGTTGAAAAGTGGAAATTAGATTACACTTATACTTTGTACACCTGAAACTAATAATAATAATAATAATAAAAGAATACTTACTGTAAGATTTTTTTATTACAGTCTTAAATTCTTTGGAGTATTTTATACACTAAAAATAGATAATGATATATAAGGTTTTAAAATAGAAAGCCATGAACAGCATATTCTTATGATTTGAGAATAAAAAGGTGATTATAGAATTATGTCCAGTGGTAACCAAGACATGTCCTGATTTTGGCAACTTTAATGTATGAAATTACATACCCACTTTTCTGAGTAAATAAAAAAATTTCAACATTGATAAAATCTATAATAATGATCTAGAAATGCTACAGGCAAAAAATGGACGAGTTTGGGCATGAGATGAGTAATGCTGATTCAGAAATATCCTTGAGACTTTTATATTGCAGTTTTATCTGCTTTGCTCTACGAGTATGTGTAGCACAGTGCGTGATGCCTTCTCCACAGCATGATGAATTTAGAATGGATTCTTGGAAACGTCCAAGAACATCTCCAATATTTGATTGTCCTAGCTTCTGTTACAACTTTAACTGCCTTCAGTAGATGTTGACCTGATGATTAATGAAAAGGTCATTTAATTATTTCCCAAGAAGGACATTCAGGTGAACCAGAGCATCCCTTCTATTAGTTATTTTGAGTCAAAGCTAAGAACGGAAAAATTTTGTAGTTATGGCTTACGCTTTATATATTTCAGATAGGAAAAGAACATGTAGGCCTGAAGGCTGTGACTGAAATCCTCCAGGACATTCAGTATAAGGTAAGTCATCGTTTAGAAGAAAATAAAAATACTGGTTGTGTAAGATGTCCCCAAGGCCACCCTCAGGCTCGATGATTCACTAAAAGGACTCCCAGAAAAGCTGTTATCCTCATGGTTGTGATTAATTACAGCAGAAGGATACAGGGTAAATACCAGCACAGTGAAAAGGCTCAGGGGTGAAGTCTGGGAGAAACCAGGCACAGCTTCCAGGCATCCCCTCCTAGTGGAGCCACGTGGAGATGCACCTAATTCTCTCAGCCATGGTGTGTCACAACACATGCAAAGTGTCACCAACCAGGGAAGTTTACCTGAGCCTTGGTGTCCAGGGATTTTATTAGGGGTCAGACATGCGAGCAAGCTGTGCCTGTGTGACTGACCTCAGCTGCTTTGACCCCAGCCCTCCCACCCCCGCCCTCAGCAAAACCAGCATTCACCATAAACCACATTGTTAGAATCCACTTATCTGTTCAAGCTGGCACAGCATGGCCCAAGGCCTGGAGCACACAAAACACTCTGTAAGAACTAATAATAATAAAAAAGAACTTACCAGATGATCAAACAAAACAAAACAAAACAAAACAAGAACACTCTGTAAGGCAGACTATTCCAAGGGCTCAGAGATTATCACCCAGGAGCCAGTCTTGAAGACAGGCCTTGTTTTGAAATGTGAGGATTTGAGCAACCCACGCCTGCTGAGTTAACCCTTTCCGCCCATTGGTTATAGGAAAGTTGCGCAAATGAAACAAATAAAAATTGTGGCAACCATACTTCAAAGTATTTATGTTAAGAAAAAAAAAAGGCAAGTACACATAAGCCATAAGATAATATATCCCAGAGAAGGTGATGTAGGTTGATTTGACCCTGTAGTGATTCAGCCTGGTGTTGCTGGGAAGCCAAGTTCTGTTATGAACAACAGTACCTTTTATGCTTACACTGAGTCCGTGCAATGTGAGTGGCCTTGGAGGGGAGTAGTTTCATCCGGTATGGCTAATGGACATGCAGCACACAGACCCAAAGACCCAAAGCCAATTCTAAAGTCAATCTGGGAATGAAGTCTGATTAGCTCTATGCAAGGCACCCTGAACCAGGCATAACCTCTACCAAAGATCTCCTGAGCAGGCTCAGAATGAGGCCAGCTAGCAAGGGGAAGCACACACTAGTCAAATAGGCTGGTAGGAAGGGCCAGAGGACACATTTTGAATGATATTTGTCCAATAGAAATAGGCTGAGACATTTTTCTTTATATCTTCAGCTAATATGACATCAGTCATTCCGGAATATAGGAGAATGGTGGAAGGCGAGTAAGCGGGTTCCTTAACGTGTCAGACAGTCTCTAGAAGCAAGGACGAGATGTAGAGGTTATGCATTAACGTCTCCTGTTATGTCTGCATTCGTAGAGTAATCTTAAAAGAGATGCTTAACTGCCTTGACAGGTCTGTCTGCCTCAAAGGCCTGAGCAATTAAATGGCACTATTTAACATAGTGATCATAAGTGGGATTATTGAATAAGGGCACAGATATTTTTCTTGAAAATTAAATCTAGCTTTGATAAAAGTTGATTGAAATTAAACACTTTCTCTGGAGGAGGAGAGCATCTAGAATGGATCTCAGACCTGAGTTACCACATTCAAAAGGGATGATATGAGCACCTGGGAGGCAGATTGTAATGCCAAGAAGGTTAGGAGCTGAGATCAAAGTACTAAAAGGAAAGTCATTTCAAAAGAATTCCCTGAGCCAGGGATGGGCTCTTTACACCACAGCTCAAGTCTATGCTCTGGATGTGGTAGGAACAGGAAAAATAGCTGACATAGGGCAGACAGACACTAGGTAGACGGTTGTAGGTTTCACACAAGGAATTATGGGAAAACTGAACTGCGGTAGTAAGGAAAGTAGCCACACACTCAGAGCAGAGGCATCTTGTTGGAACCAGCCACTGTTGCTCCCATGAGGAGACAGAATGAGATGCCCACGAATCTATGGGGTCTGATGATGTCGTTTAGAAAAGGCATCAACTTGGATTTTTAGTGCTGACACATTTTTATTCTAAAATTAAGAAATTTTATGTTAAATGGGGTAATTTTTTTCTTTTTTAGGGGAAGTCCAAAACAATACCCTGTTTTAATCCTAACACTTTATTACCAGGTAAGTGTCCATCCAGTGGCATAAGATGAATTTTCACTGTGGATATGAGTGCATTGTTTCCCTCAGAATATATATAACTATTGGGGGTGCGAAAAATGTACACATTTTAGGAGACGTTATCTATGTATTACTTTTCGAAGTTGAATTGAATTCCGGTAGCAATGTGTAGTATGACGTTCGCTCAAAAGATGGCGTTAATCAAATGAATGCTAGCGTCATTCATTGTATTACAATTTTAATACAGTTTTTTCCTTTCTTAAAATGTGTATACACTTTTTGGCACCCTCTGTATATATTATTAGTTGATAAAGTTTCTTTATAATATATGTTCTCTGTAATAGGTACCCCTTTCATGCTCTAAACATGGAGTAAACCTTTGAAATAATAAACATTTTGCCACTAGTCCCATTAATCCATGAAGAGTTTCCTTTAGATTTTCATTTTTCATTTGTAAAAATTGCTACCTCTATTTAAGCACCAGCATAATAACATAACCTTGGTGTACATCTAAAGTTGATCAGTGAGGTTTTTATTAACCTCTAGAGTGAAATAAACCTTACGTTTGTAAGATAACCTCTTTGCAATGATACTTAGCTATTATTCTAATTATTTAGGGCTCACTGAACAGGTGAGAATTGTGTATAAAATACTCAGACTATAGTTTGTAGTTAAAGGTTGTTTTGTACAAACTTTGTTCTTCACATATCTCTGCCAAAATTATGTGAAATTTCTTAGTGTTTCCAACAAAACCAAATAGGTTGATACTGTGTATCTTCTAATTTCTATATTTAATTGCTCTACAACAAACCAGTTTTTGCCATATGTTAAACATTTATCCATTATATTTAATCACGAGTTCCTCTCATGCAAGCTAAAATATTTCATAGAAATGATTTCTTTTATCCTATCATAGTATGCTTAGTATTTTGCTGTTGAAGAAGCAAGACACAAGCAGCTAGAACAGAATGGCTAAAAACACTGACTCTGAACCCAAATGCTTTGGTTTGAATCCTGGCTCTGCCAGTTTTTCGCCCCGTGGCCTTGGGCAAATTATGTAACCCTCTGTAATTCAGTGTCCTTGTCTGCAAAATGGGGCTCATAACAGGACCTGTCTCATTGGTTTGTTGTAACGGTTAAATGAGTTAACATAAAATGCTTAGAACAGCACCTCACATGTAGTAAGATTTCAGTAAACATTAGGTATAGTTAGGTAAATCCTCCAATAAAAAAAAAAATCTATGGACTTCTCCTAAAGTGACTAAACCTGATACACACACACACACACACACACACACACACACACACACACACACATGCACACACGCACATACACACACACAGGGTGCCAAAAAATGTATACACATTTTAAGAAAGGAAAAAAACTGTATTAAAATTATGCTGATGGTGACCACTTTGAGCACCTCTTGTAATCGCAGAAGTCAAACGTGACTTGTATTCATCTTTTGTTATTGTTATATATTGAATATTACAATTTTAATACAGTTTTTTCCTTTCTTAAAATGTGTATACATTTTTTTTGCACCCTCTGTATATCACGTTTATATAGCCATATATGGCTATGCATAGTAATCTATTGATAGAAATCCTTATAAATAATAGAAAGAGGATTCATGATGTTTTCCATTGAGTATGGTGATTAGTTTAAGAATATATATGTGAGGCTGTAGTTTAAAAATGACATCAGTCTGAGAAGTGTTATTTGGGCAGTTTATAATTTTGAAAATTATTGCTGGAGTCTTCATAATTATTATTGATAAACTTGTCTTCTTGTGACATGTCCATGGCTTGCACAGATCCTCTGCTGCGTGACTACTGGGTGTATGAAGGCTCTCTTACTATTCCGCCTTGCAGTGAAGGTGTTACCTGGATATTATTCCGATACCCTTTAACTATATCCCAGCTACAGGTGAGTGTGGTACTTTAAATCTTTTAGAATGAAGTTCTGAGTTAAAGGTTAAATTCTGTTTCTGTAAAAGGGGAATGTCTGTTTTATGTCTTAGCACTCTTTAGATCAGTCACATCTTTGCAGATGAAAGTTAAATGTCTCGAACTAGTGAAAGCAATGGAAAGGGCAAGGATGAACAGAACCCAGCTCTCATTTATGACCTGTATTTTAAAACTAGGTTTTCACAGAGTAAATAGAAGTCACTGAAATAGTCAAACTTTCAGTTCGTCTAGTTATCCCTTTGTGTGGTTTTCCCAAGCATGGGGATGAGGAAGGTCTTGGAAGTAATGTGAGAATGCTGGCTATTTCTGATTAAGTCTCATGTGGGCTTTGTAATATTTCTTCCTTGGCTTGCACAGGAAAATTGTGGATGAAGAAGGGTGAGGGAGTTAGAAAGAATGAATACCTTGGAAAGTTCTGGATTGCTCTGTAGCCTCACTTTTTGTCACATACCTCCCACCTTGGGCTCTGCATAGGTGCTTCAAATGCTGATGCACAGTGTGTGGGGGCACCAAGGTAGATTGTCCCTGGGGTGTTACCTGGTGAAACATGAGGTGACATCACAAAATATGCATTTAAACAATGATTTTCTTTTTGTTTTTGTTTTTCTTTTTTTTTTTTAAAGATTTTATTGGGGAATTGGGGGAGGGGAACAGCGATGGGGAGTCGGGGAAGGGGAACAGACAAATTGCTGTCCTTTTGTTCTTCAGTCTATTGTGGAAGACATCGCGTCACTGACCTGTGTTGGTATTGTGATCATTGCACTCTTCCTGGGTGAGGCAAATCGGTCGCCGGTCACTGGACGGCCTCTCACGCTGGCTGCCGGCCACTCGGTAGCTCACGGCAGCCCACTGCAGCCTATGCTGTCGCCGGTGACTCACAGCAGCCCAGCTCCAGGTCGAGCTGTTGTTCACCATCTTAGCTGTAGAGGGCATAGCGTCACTGGCTTGCATGTGGGATCTGAACTGGGGCCCCGCTGCTCAGAGCTTGTGCTCCCAAGCCAACTCTTCACCAATGAGTTACTTGGCCGGCCGTAAACAATAATTTTCATATTATTACTTTGCATGTCTCTTATCCCTCAAGGTCTGAGGGATGTGCTCTGGAAGGTTTTATTGTTTCTTCATGATCTACATCAAAAAGCTGGAGCAGTAAATAAACCAAGTTTCCTGTAGTAACTTTTTACAAACTTTTACACTATCCCTTATCATTTTATAAGAAGTTCACGTTTGCTAACTACTCAGTAAAGCCTCCTTTTGCTTGTCCTTAAATTTTTAAAATCCTTTTTTCAACCTTTAAGAATTTCTTCTGACTCTTCTGTTTCTAAAGATTAATTTTAAAAGTTCCGCATTCAGCATCTCCATCCTTTCATTATTTCATAAATTTTGACCACACCACCTTTGGACCTTCCTTTTTTAATATGACAATTCCTGATTCCTTTATTTATTCAGTCATCTATTTGTTCTTACAAGAAACTATTCCCGAGTGCCAACCAGGCACAGAGAATACGGTCTTAAAGATTAAAACACAGTCTTCACCCTTAAAAGTTCACCAGAGGGTTGAGAGGTGGATGATTCTACAGGTAATTGTGATAAGTAAGGTGTTCTGGAAACAGGAAAGAAACCTAACCCAGCCTGGGAGGTCCAGGGAATCATTCCTGAAAAATAATTAGGGGTCAGTCCTAATTATTGGTGAAAGAGAGAGAAGAAGTTAGAAACCCAAGTCTAACGTTAAGAACAGAGGTTTGGACTAATGATACATAGATTTGGGATTTAACAAAGATCGTAGCTGCTGTGACAGATAAACCTCAAAATTATAGTGCTTTTTCACAGTAAATAATTATTTCTTCCATAAAATCCAATGGATGTGTTTTTTATTCACAGTGAAGGCCTTTCTCTGTGCAGCCATTCAGGGGACCAGGTTGAAAGACTGCCATCTTTAATGCCTCATTTCCAAGGTTGCCCTAGATGTGGGCATGGAGCCAGTAGGAAGGGGAATTTTTTTAAAGGTTGCCCTAGAAATGGTGAACACCACTTATGCTTACTTTCTGTTGGGTAGAACTCAATCACATGGCTACACCTGACCGCAGGGGAGGCTGGTAAATGCACTCCAGCTTCATGTCCAAGAAGAAGAAATGGATTTGATAATCAGATCAGCTCCACTTGAGGAGGAGATAAGCCAGCCCAGCTGAGTGCTAAACCTCATTGCAGGTAGAGGAGATGGAACCACACGGGAACCGAGGAATTGCCCAAAGGCCTGAGGACAGTCCAGAGGGTGTGAAGTCCTGGGAGCCAGGACTGGAGAGAGTATTTCCAAGATGGGGAGGAGGGAGGTTAATAGTAACAAATGCTGCAGAGAATACAGATAGCATAACTGCTGCTCACCCAAGTGGCAAACAGCCAAACCTTCTAAAAATATGCCCAGATGTCACTTCTTGGTTCACACCCTTCACTGTTGTTTCCTTGGCCATGTGTGAACACTGCTTGATGCTGGCATTAGTACTGCTCTGTGGCTTACCTTTAGCTCCCCTTCTCCATTACCGTTCCTCCACCATCCCTTCCATCACGCTGCTTTGGTTGCTCCAGATAAACTCCCCGACCCATCCAATTCTCGAGGCTCCTACCATGGAGAAAGCCTTCATTTCTTTTCAGAGCTGTCTCATCATCGCAAACAAGGTACATGAACTGGAACTGTAATTGCCAAATAGGCAATTGTTAACTGAAGCGAGATGTTTTCATAGAATGTTGAGCTGGAAAAACAAGACCAAGAATAAATACAGACCATAGACTATCTTCCAAGAAGTTTTATGGGAAAAGGAAGCAGAGAGAATTTGGGAGACAATAGAAGCTTTGTAGGCTTGGTGGAAGGAGCCAGAGAGTGGAACGTCAATGTCATGATGTAGAGACTCCTGCTGTTCTTCTCAGGTTTCAGATGAGGAGACTGAGGCTTATGGAGATTAAGGGACCTCTGCCTGGGCCGCACAGGCGGTAAGGGTAGATTTGGAATCCAGCTCAGTTCTGTGTTATCAGTGCTGGGTAACCTCTGCCCTCTTTCAGCTCTTGCTCTTTTCAGCATTACAGTTCCTTTGAGGCCCTCTTTCTGTAAGAGACCTTGTCAGGAAAATCTCAGTAGTATCAGAGAAGCTTCCTACTTCCATCCACGTGTTTTGTGCCCCCAATTGGAGGAGTTTGGTTTCTTTCAGTCAGTTAGAAACACAAAACAAGACCTTCAGAGGCTGAGGCCCAACATTACAGGTTTAGGAATCATCGGCATAAAAGGAGGACCTGAATGACAGACACAGATGAGATGCCCAAGGAAAAAGTATGGGCAAAGCAGAGCAGAGTTGAGAAAATGGGAGCAGGCACTCTCCTGGGACATTTTTCTGAGGCTAACCTTTCTTTTATAAGAAGCTCTTCTAAGCGGGCAGGGTCCCATGAGATTTAGTGCTCCCCATTTGCCACCTGGTTACTCCAGGTCTCTTCTCCAGCTGACGTCATGTTCCCAAAGCAGTCAAGAGTTCCGAGGTTAACAGGCTTGTGTGTGTGAAGGCCTCGCTTGCTGTTGGCTGCCCCGTGCTTGCTGTCAGACTGTAAAAGATTGCAGCCTGAGCTGTCAGAGCTGGGGTCATGCAGTTGCTGTTGCTCTGTGAATGACACATGTAAAAGATCAAACACCCCTCTGCATTTACTTTCCGTGCAATTTGATTCTAGGGCAGTGATACACATTTCCTTATTGTTGCTTCAGATAGCACAAAAGTCTTAACATGGCTTAATTTCAAAGCACTGGGGCTTAATACACAGTATGTTTTGTGATACTGGGATGTACTCACCAGCCTTTATATGTCATTGACCCTATTAATACAAGCAATTTGATGATATAATAAGGTAATATATGTCATAGTCCTACTTTCCTTTTCGTTATCCTTGTCATAGGCTGATGTTAGCATGTGGAATTGCTCTTTTGAGAGTGATCTGGATAATTTATTCACTAATTCATGCACTGATTCATTTGATAATTGAAATTTAATATTTGCCAGGCACCATAGTAGACACTGAAAGTGGAGGACCAATAAGATGTGGCCCTTTCTCTAGGAATTCATCATCTAGGGGGAAAGCTAAATAGGTTCACACTTAAAATTAACAATCATTTCATGTGCACAGTGCCATGGGATGGCATGAGTGTGGCCTTGTGGTATCATACAGGAAAGGTACCTGGGTAAGATTCAGCCATCTGGTAGACCTTTCTCAAACCAGGTGAAGGGGTGTGGCATGGGTGGGCATTGCCAACAGGGCAGAAATGCCTGCAGAGGGATCGAGGCAAGAGAAAGCATAGTGCCTCTGGGGATGCACGCTGTAGTGTAAAGGGCCAGTGGCATGAGACGAGGTTCAGGAGGGAGCATGGGCCCGACCTCCATCACAGGGCCTTGGTCTGTACTGTGGAGGGTGGGCTTTCTCCTGAAGGCAGCAAAGAATCCCTGGAATGTTGGGAGAAAGACAGACATGACCGAAACAGTAGGCAGGTGCGGGTCTGGGGTAGGATTGTGGCAGTGAGATGAAAGGAAGAGAATGACTTTAGAAATAATAAAGAAGTAAAATCAGTAGAATTGGGTGACTGCTGAGTTTAAGATGTTGCCCTTTATTGTAATTGGGAATAAAAAAGGAAGAGCAGACTTTATGGAGAATATGAGTTTATGGTTGTAACTACTGAGAGCTTGAGATGCTTTTGAGACAACCAAGAAAGGGGTCTAATAGATAAGTGGTGGTTGAACCCATAAGCGTAGAAGAGGAGAGAAAAGAAGTGATGGAGAATGGCAGCTGATACAGGGCATGCCTTGAGAATGGTTTGCGAACTGGGAAAAGTCAGGTGGTTGATGTGATGTCTGGAAGACAGAGGAGGTATGAGCTTCAAAGCGGGGGAAGGAGAGAGATGAAGAGTATCAGATTCTGAACACACATTAAGGTAAG